TGTCTAATAATATTCTCAGTGAGACTCCACTGGAGAAAAGAGATTTTACCTTTCAAAGCAGGTAGGAGAATAAAGATGGAAGAAACAAAGAACACAACAAGAAAGAGCACATAGAATGATGAGCATCTGCCCATGTGTGTAAAGTTATTATAGATCTCATTCACATTTCCCTAGCTCCTGAGAAGCAATTTCTCAGAGGACCCTGAATAGGGGCTGGGAATTGGTACCTTGATTCCTATAGCACATCTCATTATGGTCCAAACCATACCTGGGCATATAGACCAAGACCGTACAAGACAGCAAGTTGAGCAAGCCATGGAGAGCAAGCCAGTATGCAATGTTCCTCCATGGTTCCTGCCTCTGTTCCTGCTTAAGTTTCTAACCTGTATACTTCAGTGATGGACTGTAATCAGGACAGGAAAGCAAGATAAGCCAATTCCTCTCCTACTTTCTTTTGGTCAGTGATTTATAACAGCAACAAAGCAAACTAAAGTATAGACCAACACAGTAATAATATTTATGATAAGGAGCCAACAATGTAATAAACAGAAAGAAACATAGCTATTTCTGCTAAAAGCAGGAACAAGACAAGGGCATTCATATCATCCATTCTGAGAATGAGGATGGGACAGAATCATAAAAGATGTCGTAGTTAGGGTTCTTTATTGCTGTGAAGAGACACCAGGACCACGGCAACTCATAAATAAAAAACATTTAGTTGAAATGGCTTGCTTACAGTTTCAGTGGTTCACTCCTTTATCATCAGAATGGGGAACATGGTAGAGCACAGGAAGATGTGGTGCTAGAGCTGAGAGTCCTGCATCTTGACTCAGAAGCAACAGGAAATGGACTGAATGTCACACTGAGGGAAGCTTGAGAAAAGAGCCGTCAGAGACTGCCCCCACAGTCTTTTTTCAACAAGGCCACATTTCCTAATAGTGCCACTCGCTTTGGGGGCCATTTTCTTTCAAATTATCACAGAAGGCAACTCTGGTTGGCCTGAAACATACTATAAAAAACATGCTAACCTCAAAACCATACAGTTCTGTCTGCCTCTGCCTCCTTAGTGCTAGGATTAAAGGAGTTCATCACTATGTACATCTTCTTTCTCTAGCATTTTGTGCTATGCAGTGATTGAAGTCTTAGCCAAAGCAAAAGGATAAAAGATCATATACAAGGGATGTAAATAGGAAAGCAAGAAGCCGAAGTTTCTTCCCTT